GTCAGGCCAACCTGAGTCCCCAGAGCCCGAGTCTTTACGTGTCCCCGAAAGGAAAATGTACATGTGCCGCCCGTGTTCCCCATGTTCGCCCCCCTTGGAGGCCCTCGTCGGCGCCTCTGGATTTGCCTCGAAATGCTGGTCAGGGCGCACCCCGGGAGAGGTCTGGGGTTGGAGTACCATGTGGGACCTGCCTTAGAACAGGAACATACGGTAGACGGATCTACCCTTTCTCCCACCTTGCACCGCACCCAACGCAGCGGCTACGTTGTCCAAAGACCTATCCACACTTAAACAGTGTCTACCGACGCCACGGCACCCAATGTGTCCATAGACGCTTTGGGCTGGGAACTGGGAACAGTACTTGGCATCGGCCCCAGCTCTTGGTCCTCCAGAAGCAGACAGGTTTGGCCCTCCAAGTCCGCGGAGCAGCGGTACCGGTACCTCGTGTTGGTAGCCCCCAAACCAGGTGGTGAGATATCAGGTGGTGACCTTCAATCCTCCAAAAGTCTCCGCCGGGTTTTTGAACACGGGGTCGCCACTTGGTTCTGTGACTCCTGGACCCACCAGCGTTCGGGACACCCTCGAAAAAACACACGAATCCCCAGACCGGGTGGTGACACCAAATCGCCCGAGGCTCACCGCCGGGTGTTGTCACCACCACGCTTGGGGGCTACCACTCTTGGTCCCCCCAGAGTGTGCGAGGAGATGTCCGATGGGGGAGTCGGGCTGTGGGCGTGGGCCGCCGCCCGGGAGCATCCCGCGAGCTGCGGCAGGGCGCCCTCGCTCGCAGAGCTTGTGTGTGCAGGCCCGGCCGCCCCGGGAGCTTCCGGGCGCTGCGCTCCTGAACCACCCGCGCGGGCGGGGCGCAGTTCTTCGACAGGTGTACAGTAGGAGACCCATGCCAAAAGAACACCCTGTGGGTTTCTTGGGTTTCGATGGTTTGGCTTTGGAGAGCGCGGCGTGCCCATACCAAACATCAACGGACATCCTGGGGTCTCAGGATTAGGTTTCTTTTGGCAGGTTTCTTGGGGTCGAGCCCCTACTGTAGTTCTGACGGCTTGGGCCAAGCTGGTTTTCCAATCCTGCGGCAATGTTGGCTGTCTGGAGCTCTGGGAAGGGTGATGGGCCTGTTTTCCACCGCCACCACCAGAAGTTGGAGGGGGGAGAGGGTCCTCCTCTTCTTCTTCCTCCTCCTCATCCTCCACCTCCTTCCCCCCTCCAACTTATGGTGGTGGTGGTGGTGGTGGAAAACAGGCCCATCAAAGGGAGGTGGGCGGATGAGGATTCGAAGACATGCTAATTACCAGGATGAGCCCGGGAGGATTACTGCCCCAAGGTATGCGCGAGCCTGCAAGACAGGTAGAATTTCAGCTCGCGCGATGGTTTCACAAATCCGAAGGATCGGAGAGGCTACTCGAGTATCGCAGGCCTAGAGGTTGACACCAACACCAATTTTGGCGGTGTGCCTCCAGCGAGGGAAGAAGATCCCGATCTCGGTGATGGTGGTAACATTCTGGCTTCCGACAGACAGAGGAGCCAAACGCCGTCCGGCGCGTAGGCGGAATATGGCAGCAGGCTTTGGTTGCTGCTTGCAGGAACGAATTAAAATTGAGCATCGGTAGCGAAATGGCGCCAGCTGCGCTCGTCGCCAATGCAATTCTGCATGGCGGCTTCAGAAGCGAAGCGCGGGGCAATTTTCTCGTACAAACAGTACGCCCACTCGTGCCTGGGTCGCCCCCGTGCTCTCCGCACCCTCCGGGTCGCGGGTCGCAGGCTGCCAGCCTCGAAGGTCAGCGACCGAAGTACATCACCGTCGTCCGCTCTGCCAACCTTCCCGAATGTAGAATACGACGCAGGCAGCGAGCTTGAAATCCATCGAGTCTTCTTCTCTCCGCCTTGTTTAACCAAGCAGTGTTCAAGGAGTACATAATCTTTGTAGTAACGACCGATTGAAATACTTACAGGTGACCGAGATATTACCACCCGAGGTGACCGAAATATTACCACCAACACCGAAATCTATGATCATCTTCTCCCTGTGGAGACAAACCCCTGTGTTGGTGTTGGTGCCAAATTTCATGCCTCCAGTACTCCTGATCCAGCTCGAGGGGCTGGGCGGAGCGTCTTGTCAACAGCAGGCGCGACTCCGGGGCGGAGAAGCATGGCTCTGGCTTCCCGCACGCTGGCTCGAGCGCTGGCCCGGGACCGGGGGACATCTCCTCGGGCCTACCCATTTCGTCTCGTGCGTGACAGTGAGTGCCCTCGCTCCAGCGGGCACGAGAGACGACGCCGTTCAGCGATGGGGCAGACCGCCTTTGAATACAGCGAAGAGGATAGCACACACTGTTCCCATACCACGACCCTCCTGTTGATTTGTTCCGTGCGTGCGCACGATCAGGTGGTAGCACATGGTTCCGTAAGTAGATCTTTTCATATCATGCCCGAACTGGTACATATTGCAACGCAGGCAACCACATCATGGATCATACAGAGCAAACGCCACACATCATAGCAAAAAAGGGCCAAGCACACCAGACCACATCGTATCATAACAGAGCGTAGCATAACATACCATATCACATAACCACAACGCTTCACACCATGACAAAGCATTTCGTCACACCGTAACATAATGTATTCGAATATAATCATGCGAGACGTATGCGCCGAGGTCAGGCTGGTCACAAGAGCAAGCAGACGCAGCAACGAACGATCGGGGGACGTATCTATCGTGGCAGGCGTCATGGCGTCACGCTGGTCCGTCAAGAACAGGGCAGACATACTAGAGCACAACGAAATGAAACAGTATCTCATCATCATACTACAGAGAATAATGCACACCGTAACCAGCATAACATCGCATGAGTGTTTGACTACTGCTACCCTACGTCAACAGCTCATTTTCAAAATGATTGGAGAACATATCATGTGACATACTCTAGCGAGTTGAGCATACGCTAAACGCCATCAAAGTTTTAGCATCACCTAACCTAACTGGACAGAACTTACGTATCATGTCATACCGTGGTGCCGCAGAGCAGAGTCTAGCATTTTATAACAAAGCATACAATGTCAGATGTGAGCAGTGAGCATCACAGAGCATGTGTTCACAGAAGAGAATCACACACTTGAGGAGGACTTCATATCATAACAGGCTGTACCATCACACAATCAAACGCGACGTCTGCGCCGAGGTGAGCACGGCCACAGGTACAAACAGGCGCAGCGACGACCGATCGGACGACGTATCTAACGTGACAGGCGTCACGCCGCCCCGTCGACAACACAACATATCATATAGTAGCATCGCAGACTGGAATTTGATCGTGCATAACAAACTTGAGCAGTCTTAGATGCAGCACCGACCGATTACGGGCGCACTGTCAACGCAGCATCCGTGCTTTGCCTCAGGAAAAAACATGCGCGACAACGACCGATTAGACGACATATCGATCGCGGCAGGCGTCACTACGTCACGACGCCCCGTCGAAGAAACAAACACATGTGCATATAACAAAACAGAACCGACACACAACGTGATAGAGTAGAATTCAGCAGAGACCGGGTACAGTAGCAGCAACGACCGATTGTAATACATACCAAGCGTGAAAGGCGTCACGACGTTAGACCGGCCCGTCCACAACATAACATCACAAAACACAATGTCGTATATTGCATTGGGGCAGAACCGAAGCGAACATCATACATACGCTAGCCACCACGTCACGGCGTCTCATCACATGCGACATGCGCCCCGTCGTCAAAGGAGGACGAGGCGTCCGGAGCAGGAGGAGGAAGGAGAGGTCCGTCTCACCTCCTCCTCCTCCTCATCCTCCTTCGTCGTCCGCCTCCTCGTGCTGCTGCTGCTGCTGCTGCGCCTCCCCTGACTCTTGCAACAGACTGCAGATTCTCTCCGAACAAGCCTTGGGGTCTCGCACAACGGGTTTTGGGGGCTGGTTCGTCGCTCCAGGGACTTGTTTCGGTTTCTTTCGTCAGGGGCCCTGAGCTTGGTAGACTTTCGGAACACATCAACTCGCGACCTGGCCCGGTCGCCGCGCTGGCCGAGAGCGCCGGCCCTTGCGCACGTCGTTCCAGTAGGTGCGCGCACCGTTGGGAACGAGCGCCACTCGAAGCGGAGTAATTTTCACGATGCAAAGCTGTCAGGGCCCTCCCCTCTCCTCCACATCGCCTGTCCTCCCTCCTCCTCCTCCTCCTCCTCCTCCTCTCCTCCTCCTCCTCCTCCTCCTCCTCCTCCTCCTCCTCCCCTCCCCCCCTCCTCCTCCTCCTCTTCCTCCGCCTCCTCCTCCTCCTCCTCCTCCTCTCCTCTACAATTACTCAATATGAATACTACTCTCCTCCTTCCCCTGATGACACGTTGGGAGTGTTCGCTCCCCCCCCCCCCGCGTGCTGTCTTTTTACACACAGGATTCCCCAGAGTTGGGTTTTCGCTTGCATTTTTTCCCAACATGCTGCTCTCGCTGAGGCGCCGGCCTCATTTTCGGGCCCCACTCGTTCCGAATCGTGCTCCCACTGCAGCGCTGGCCTCATTTCCGTGCGCGATGCCATGCCTTGAGCTGAAGTTGTGATATGCAGTGCTTAAGTGCCACGTCGTGCTATGCCATGCTACGCTTTGATCTTCAACGCCATGCTATGCAATGTTATGTTCGGGGCCGCTGTGCGATGCCATGCTTTGCGTTGCAAAGCTTTGCGATGCAATTCTTCACTACGCCACGCCACGCCATGCTGTGACATACTACGCTTTGCGGTGTTCTTCTACGCCATGTCATGCCGTGCTCTACAATGCATCGCGTACCCTTTCGGGATCATTGCCCTGTTCGACATCCGACGGTGCGAGTAGAGAGGGGATCTGCGCCATGGTAAGGGATGGGAGGGAGGGGTAGGATGTCAGATATGACGCGAGCGCACCTAGCTTGTCTCCTTCCCCCTCGTCCCCTGTCAAGGCTGTCCTCTGCCACCGCCGGCGCCGCCCCCCCGGACAGGCAAGGTGGCCCTGCCGTTCTCGGCCTTGAAGGCGTGCTCAGCCCTGGCCGGCCCCGCGGCCGGGATGCTCGAGCGCCCCAGCGGATGCGTGGAGGAAGCAGACCCAGAGATCCAACGTATTGAAAAAATCAGGGCGGATTTTCGCCGATTTCCGCCTCCAGAGGCCCTCGCTGGGCCTCGGGACCGTCAGAACACGACTCAGCATGGAAAACCGGTCCTGGGGAATGGGTCGAGACTTCCGGGGGGCCGTATGGAAAAAATCACGACATTGGATTTCTGGGGAGAGGAGGCGAGGGGAGGCTGGAAGCTCCGAGGAGGAAAGAGGTTTCCATGGTCCATGCCGCGACCCTTCGTCCGTGTTCTCCTTGTTGTTCGGCCTCCTGGGAGGCCCTCGTCGCCACGGCTGGAGCCGCCTCGAGATTCTGGTCTGAACGCACCCCAGGAGAGGTCCGGGGAGTAGCCGTATCGTTACCCTTCGATTTCCCCATCAATTGGCAAGAAGATGGGGGGTGAAGAGCATGAGAAGAGATGGGAGGAGGCGGTTGAGAATGAAAGTGATGGTGAGGACCGGTGTGGGAACAGGGAGACAGGCAGGAGGAGGACGCCCCGGAAGAAGGAGGAGGAGGAGGAGGAGGAGGAGGGATTGGAGTAGGGAGGAAGAGGAGGAAGAGGAGCAGGAAGAGGAGGAGGAGGAGGAGGAGGAGGAGGAGGAGGAAGAGGCGAAGGCAGCAGGGAACAGAGAGGTTCAGGAGGAAGCAGGGCAGAGAGTGGGGAAAGAGGGGACGGAAGACCGGGGAGGGGCCGACCGGCAGTGAGGGGTTGAATAACACGAGGACTCATGGAACTCCCCGCTATGTTGCATAGGGTACCTGAACCTATAACACAGTTCCTTTTCATTGTTGGGCTGATTTTCTCGCAGAGAGTGGCCACCTGATGATGCCCTTTGGATTGGCCATGGTGATGTAGCATGATGTGGGGGGCCCTTCTGCTACACTTTCCTCCAGGGTGAAGCACCCGGGAGGTGGACGAGGAGGAGGAAGAAGAGCAGGAGCAGGAACAGTGTGAGGAGCAAGCGCGGAAGGCACTAGCGTTAGCAGCAGTGGTTGTAGCAGTGGGGAGAGAGAGTCGTGACAAGCAGGATGGACCCAGAGAGGCCTCGAGATCCAGAGGTCCTTCCGATCTTTACAGGGCCCCCGAGATGGCCCGGAGAGGTTGCCAAGAGTTCCTCCTTCTCCAGCTGGCCGCGTGCCTCGGTTCGACGCCCCGAACACGTGCACAGTCCGAACCGATCCTCATCCGACTCCTCCCTCCCCGCTCTGCCCCTCGCAGCGTGGACCCCCCCGCTGTCTCGACCACATCTGTGGGACCTGTGCTTCATCACATGAGCCTTCTTCCCCACGTATCCTCCCCCGTGGACCCGCGACCACCCTCGTCGTCGTCTGCGTCGTCGTTCGCGCTGCTGCGTTCGTTCGTCCGTCGCTGTCGTCGTGTCGTTTGTCGTCCTTGCCGTCGTCGTTCGTCGTCGTCGGTGGCCTTCTACGGGTGCGCGAAGCCAACCTAGAATCCTAGAATTCCCCCCCCCCCCTTCCTTCCATGGTTCCACACCCTCCCCTGACGTGCCGCGGCACGGCGGAGGGCGTGCTGGAGTACAAGTTCGTCGTCACTCACTCGGACGGCTCGGTGGGCGCCTCCCCGACCCCGTGGACGCGCTCGCGACGCTGCTGCGCGTCCTGCCCTCATCCTCTCTCCGTCTCCTCCCCTCTTCCCCCACCCTCCTAGACACCCTCGCGCCGCGGCAAAAAACATCGCGTCCCTCTTCCCTCCTCGTCTTCCTCACCCCCATCCCACTGACGACGACGGAGGAGGACGGCGACGAAGACGAAGGCGACGTCGGCGACGGCCCCCCTTCATCCCCCTCCACTCCTTTCACCCCCCCGATCGGGGTCCTTGAGGTTCGCATCAAAAATGTCGGCGGTGTGCCTCCGCCGAGGGAAGGTGATTCCGCTCTCGGTGATGGTGGTTCGGGAACTTTTGGATAGCGTGTCGTTCCGCCGGTTCTGGACCACCGCGCCTCGGTGCGACACGCTGTCCACGTCCAAGTCACGAGCTTTTCCCAGCCTCCCACCCCGCGGAGCGGAGTGACATGCTACCCGCTCGCAAACCATAACGTGTCGCAGGGCCGCCGCCGTGACACGCTTAGCATCGGAGTCCTAGAGGTTGGCACCAACAATATCGTCGGCTGACGGCGTGCCTCCACCGAGGGAAGGTGATCCTGGTCTCGGTGATTTTGGTAATATTCGAACTTCCTGGGTGGCTGGAAGACTACCACCAACGCCAACATCTATGATCGTCCTGCCCCTGTGGACGCACCCCCCTTTTTTTGGTGTTGGTGTTTTGGCAAATATGTTCGCCCTCGGTGGGCCATTTGCCGGCCTCGGAGAATTCGTCCAGGAGCGGCCCGGGATGAGGGATCGGCCCTGAGGAGGAGGGCGAGACATCTCGGGGTCCGCCTTGGGTCTGTCTTTTCCTTCGACGCTTCTGGACCAAACAGCGCGACTTCGGGGGCCTGGGTCCTCCCCCTCTCCTCCCCCAGCCCCCCCACTCCCGCCCTCCATTTCTCCTCCCCGAGGCCTGCACTGCACAGCTCTGGGCCTCCTGGGTGGGGTCGGAGCCGAGGGGGCCGGAGGATCGCGCCGCACCGCCGATGCATCGGCGGCGATGCAGCTCGATGTCCAGCCCGAGTTTCTCCACGCCGACGTCGCCAGTGCATCGCCGACGCTGCCGGTGCATCGCCGATGCATCGCCGATGCGTTGGCGATGCGTCGGCGATGCAGCGCGATTCTTCGACCCCATCTACCGCGACGCCGTCTAGGAGGCCTCTAACAGATCGCGTTGCGATGCTCACCACACGGAGGCGACGGCGCCCTCTCCGAGGGGTTGGCGTGGGCCTGCCAGCGTGGGCCTGCCTGCAGTCCCGCCTGCGTCCCGTGCGTCCCGTCAGCCTCCCTCCCTGAGGAGGAGGAGGAGGAGGAGGAGGAGGAGGAGGAGGAGGAGGAGGAGGGGGAGGAGGAGAGGGAGGAGGAGAGGGAGGAGGAGGAGGCAGAAGAGGAGGATGAGGAGGAGGAGGCTGGTCCTTCTGGTAAGGTTAATTCGGACACGTCCCTCTACAGGAGGACTGGTCAAAAACAGTCAATCAAATACCGTGGGGATGTTTGTTTTACTATTTTTGGTTATTGTTGAATCTTTTGTGAGTAGTTTGAGTTTTCGTTTCAAATCCGCCTGTAGGGGGACATGTCCGACCTGATGGTAAGGCTTCGGGTTGCCTTCAGGTTGCCCCCCCAGGTAGGCCTGGCTGGCCTCCACCGGGTTGTCTTAGGACCTTGGCGCCGACTCCTGCGGCTCCCCTTGTGCGCCGTTCCCCAGGATTGGGGTGTTGAGACCGCCCCGGACGACCCTGGGGGGCTTGGGGAGGCCAGCGGGGACTCACGACTGGGAAGGGGCTCTGTGCGCAAGCCACAGCCTTCCTCATTCCATCCTCCCCCTCCCCTCGCCATGAAGCAAGTGGGTCCTGAGGGAAACGGGTCCTGAGGCTTTTCACCGCGTTCGGGCTTTAGGGGCCCTCCTCGGCCCCTGGGTCCGTCAGAAAACGGTTCAGCAGCAAGAGGTGGTCTTGGGGGAATGCCAAGGATCTTCGATTGATTTCCCTCAGCAGCCGTTTGTTTCATGCCAAATTCCCAACTGTAACTTGCCTTCCAGTCCTTCTCGTCCTTTTTCCGTCCTCCACCTTCTCGACCTCCACCACTTCCTCTTGACCCCAGCTGGCTGCATGTGGCAAGTTTCTGCAATTTTGACAGCTCAGCAATCTGGATGGCAGATGTTCGAGGAGCGCGCAGGAAGCTGTAGCGTGTGACACCTCGTGTCCCGACACACGCCCTCCGCGTCGTGTCGGGGTGTCTCTCATCGTGTTCGTCGTCTTCCCTTCCTTTTCTTCCTTCTTCCCTTCTTGGGTCCTCGTGTGGGCCTCGTGGGGGCCTCTTGAAGGCCTCATTGGGGTCTGTTGGGGCTCCGTGGATCGTCTTGGGGGCCTCTTTTGAACAGTCTGGAGCCTTCGGAGTGCGCCTTGGGGGCCGTCTTGGGCCTTGGGGTCCTGCAGGGTCGTCTGGTCTTAGGACCCTCTTGGGTTTGGGGGCCCTCAGTGCTATCTTAGGGGGGGGGGGGGGCGTCTTGGGGCGTCTTTGCCCCGTTTTGGCGGCATCTTGGAGGTTTATTGAACCATTCTGAGAACCTCTTTGGCTGTCGTGGGGCCCTCCTGGGGGACCGTTTGGCCATCTTGGGGCCGTCTTGGATGACTCTTTGTCTCCTTGGCCGTCTTGGGCCGACCGAAGCCCAAAAAGGGCAGGACCTTGATGACACTTTCCAAATCTGAGGAGCACTGATGATGTTGGCCTCCTAGGGCTCGCCAAGATGTCCTCTGGGAGCCCTCTTGGGCTTAGTGGGCCCCAGAAGCGACAGGGCCGTTTTTGTTACAGGTTCCGTTTTGCCGTCTTCTTGGCGGTTCCGACAATGTTTTTTGTTTGTTGGTTCCGTCGCCGTTTTCGTTCCGGTTCCGGCTCCAGCTCCAATCCCAGGAGCCGTTTTGGTGTTGCTGTTCTTAGTCGCCGTTTTTTGTTGCTTCCATTCTCTTTGAGGCATTTTTTTCTGGTAAAGGTGAAAAGCATTGCCCTACCGCCTCCTGAGCCCATTGAGCTCTTGGGCCGTATTGGGGGCCTGGTGGACCGTCTTGGGGCCATATGGGCGAAGCAAAAAAAAGGGTCGTCAGCGCCGAAAGCTCCCCGCGTAAGGTCGCGCGTGAGCGCCCTCGCTTCCCGTGTGGCGCGCCGCGGTCTCGGCCCGCGTGAGTTGCGGGTAAGGTCGCTTCGTCATCTCGCGCAAGATCCGTGTATGCTCGTCGCCCATATGAGGAAGGGCACCCTTCAGGAGGGAAGGAGACACACACACACAATTAATCGTCGATTCCAAGGATAATTTGGGAAACTATGCGAAGCGGGGGGTGGGAGGAACAAACAAAAAAACAGAAAATATGTGAAAATGTGGGGGGTCCTGGGATTTGTGCGGAGTTCTCCGTGTGTCCCTGGGCCCCTTCAGCAAAGGCATCTCTGGGGCACCCCGAGGGCGCCCTGGAGCGGCGGAGCGCCCAGAGGGAGAGCCGCGGGGGGAGGAGGGGAGGGGGGCGGTGCACACGGCGACGTGCGGGTGTCGGGAGGGGGACGCTCAAGAAGAACGGAGTCCCGCAGGCCTAGAGGTTGACACCAACACCAAGACCGACACCAGCTCCTCCCTCCTCCCCCTCCTCCTCTTCCTCTTCACATTCCTCCTCCTCTTCTTCTTCCTCCTCCTTCTCCTCCTCGTCCTCCACCTCCTTCCCCCCTCCAACTTGTGGTGGTGGTGGAAAGCAGACCCATCATTGGGCACCCCGGAGGCCCTGGAGCGGTGGAGCGCCCAGAGAGGGAGCCATCGGGAGGAGGGGGAGGGACGCGCGGGTGCGCACGGCGACGTGCGGGTGTCAGGCGATCGCACACTTGGACCAAGGGGGCGTGGACTAGCGGCGGGTCCCGCTGCCATGGGAACGAGGCGGCACGGGCCGCTTTTTGGGGAGGGCGCCTCCCACCATCCACGGATTAGGCGACCGCGCGTCGGATCCGTGGATCGCTAATCCATGTCTGCGCGGGCCCGAGGATGCAGGAGGGGGCGCTCGAGAAAAAAAGCGAAGTCCCTACAGTTCGAGTAAGGGATCGACTACAGAATTGATTTACCCCAAATTTGATTGGTCCGTCGCATCCTTGCAGAGAAAATACGTCGAACGCTCGCAGATCTTCGCCCATTCGACCCATTCTCTCGTAGATCCGACGAACCTTACAATTTTGTGGTAAGTACGTTCTGTAGAACGAAGTCCCGCAGGCCTAGAGATTGACACCAGCACCAAGATCGGCGGTGTGCCTCCATCGAGGGAGGACGATCCCGATCTTGGTGACGGTGGTCGTATTCTGGCGTTCAAGGTGACCGAAGTATTACCACCAACACCGGAATATATGATCATCTTCCCCATGTGGGGGCAGCTTCCTTGTGCTGGTGTCGGTGCCAATTTCCAGGCCTCCAGAAGTCCCTACAGTCGGGGCCCATGCCAAGAAACACCCTGCTTGCCTCCAGGGTGCCCTGGGTTTCTTGGGTTTCCATCGTTTTGCGTGTCTTGTGGTCGGGCTCCTACTGTACCAAGAAGCTCTTGGCATTCTACCACCTCAGCGTGTCAGGGGCCATTGCGGCAGAAGTACGGGGGAGAGGGAGATGCGGAGTAGGCGGAGGAGGAGGAGGAAGAGACGCTTCGTCGACAGCACCAGGCCGTCGAGTCTTCGCACTGCAGGTGCAGTTTGCTTCGACTGACCAGCGAGTGAGGTTACGAGAGAGAGGGAAAGAGAGAGAGAGAGGGAGAGAAAGGGTGAGGGAGAGAGAGGGAGGAAGAGAAAGCGCGCGAGAGAGATAGAGAGAGCGATCTACATATATAGCTATATAGAGAGATATAGAGAAATAAAGAAAGAAAGCTATCTACGTCAACTATGCCCATAGCCCGTGCGGCCCGAAACAAATCGCGCCAGAAGAGGTGGCTCCCAACGTTAGGGCTCTGGGTGACACAATTTCTGCATCCTGGTAACATACAAGTTTGACAAGGTACTGATCTTCATATCGCCATTCGGCTTTAAGTTCACGTTTTGGCAAGGAGCTGATCTTCATCATAGTAGTATTCGTCAGTCGCAGTGTTCGTGTTCGGCTTCATCGGTGGCCGGGTTTCATTCGGGCGCGCTGCTGTTAACATCACATAGCCATTTGCTCGTGGATAATTGTGCAAGGGGGCGAGAGCTTCCGGGGCGGGCGACTCCAAGACATCGAGTCGTCGGAGGTTTCGGAGCAATGGCAGGTGCGAGGTGACGACGGCGCCGCCAGCGACGCCGTCGACGCCGACGACGGTGACGCCGACGCCGACGCCGACGCCGACGCCGACGCCGACGCCGACGCCGACGCCGACGCCGACGCCGACGCCGACGCCGACGCCGACGCCGACGCCGACGACGACGACGACGACGACGACGACGACGACGACGACGACGACGACGACGATGCTCGAGCCCTCCAGGCCCAAGCGCATCGGCCCCCGGCCGTTCGCTCTCCCTCTCTCCTCTCGGGGGCGGCCAAGAGGGGTGTAATGACTGGGGGGGGGAATATCATGGCGGGGGCCACGATATCTCCCCAGATTTCGTGGCGCCCCCCTCTCTTGTCAGGCGATCGCAAACATGGATCAAGGGTGCGTGGATTAGCGACGGGTCCCGTTTCCACAGGAAATCGCGGATCTCCGCCGCCGAACGAGGCGGCACCAGCCGCTTTTTGAGGGAGCGCACTTCCCCCGATCCATGGATTTGGCGACCGCGCGCCAAATCCATGGATCGTTAATCCATTCTGCGCGCCCCCGATCTTGGCCGCCCCCCTCTTGGAAGCCCCCCCCTCTCGATGCGCGGCCGCGATGTGCCCCTCCGCGCAGACACTCTGCCTGTGGCTGAACTCGCCGTGCCGGGCGCCGTGCGGCCCCAAGGGCGGCCGGAGGCTCGCGACGCCCATAAGCCAATTGGCGCCCATTTGCGCCCTCCTCCTCCTCCTCCTCCTCCTCTCCTCCTCCTCCTCCTCTCTCCTCCTCCTCCTCCTCCTCCTCCCTCCTCCCTCCTCCCTCCTCCTCCTCCCTCCTCCTCCTCCTCCTCCTCCTCCTCCTCCTCCTCCCTCCTCCTCCTCCTCCTCCTCCTCCTCCCTCCTCCTCCTCCTCCTCCTCCTCATCTCCTCCACCTCCTCCTCCTCCTCCTCCTCCTCCTGCTCCTCCTCCTGCTGCTCCTCCTCCTCCTCCTCCTTCTCCTCCTCCCCCTCCCCCTTCCCCACCCCCCCCCCCTCCCCCTCTCCCTCCCCCAGCCCGCCTCTGCACCTTGCTCGAGTAGTGGCGAAGCGTCCTGGCTCGCCAGAAGGCCCACAACGTAATGTTCTAAGACATGTCCGTGGCCTGCACAAGATGTTCTTAGAACATTCCTGGCTGAGCCTGTCTTGGTTCCAGCTTTCAAAGACCCCCGGTTTCCCCTCATCTGGTTAATCCTCATCCTGCCTTCGTCTTGAGTCCCTAGCCTCCAGGTGCCCTCGTTCCGCCCGCTGCCGCTCCTGCTGCCCAATGCCCCCCACGCCTCGTCTTTTCTCATCTCCCGCTCCCCCGCTCCACATCCGTTCTCTGCATCCCGACCCCCCCCCTCCATCCCTCCTCGTCCCCCTCGGTGGGCCACTCGCTTGTCGTTAGGACATTCCCCTCCCTCCGCGATGGACATTGCACTCCTCACTCCCGTCCCGTTCATCCCTTCCCCTTCCCTTGCCCCATCCTGCACTGAGCTCCCAACTCCCCCGCCCCCCCTCTGCCGTCCCAGGCTCCCCCACTCTCCCCTTACCCTCTCCCGACCCCCACTCCACGTCTGCTCTCCATTCCCACACTCCCCCCCTCCCCCGCTTTCCCTCTTCCTCACTCCTGGTCGTGCTCATTCTCCTCGGCATGCTCAGCCCTCCTCCTCCCCCTCCTTCTTCCCGCAACCGGTCCCTCTCCCCGAAATCGAAGCCCCCGACCTGTCGTGGGGTGAGTTGTGGTGAGTCCAGCTGTGGCCAAGAGGGCGCCAGAAAAAGGCCCCACAAGGCACCAAACATCCAAACACGTCGACCTTCGATCCTCCTCGATCTTCGACCCTCGATCTGCCCACGCGACTGTCCCCACCCGGCGTAGGGGTCGAGAGGCACCGCAGTGGCCGCGCCGTGGTCCGCAATTTCCACGTCGCGCTGGCCGCCGGCTGCCTGCTGGCGTGCCTGGTCTCGGAGGGTAGAAGGGGGGACCGGCCCGCGGCGAGGGACGATGGTGGGCCCATGTCCCACCACCACTGCCACAGTTAGGAGAGGAGGAGGAGGAGGAGGAGGAGGAGGAGGAGGAGGAGGAGGAGGAGGAGGAGGAGGAGCTCCTCATCCTCCGTTTTCCCCCGTCCTACATATGGTAGTTGTGGTGGAAAGTCTGCCCCATCAGACGAAGAGGAGGGAGGTACCAAGATCGATTGCCTGGGCTCTCGCTCGGTGCCTGGCCCGCCGGTGCTTGCCCCCCTTGCGCTGGCGGGCTGGTGGTTCCTGATTTTCGGCCGGTGCCCGCCCCGTGCCCGCCCCGTGCAATGGCTGGCGTCCCCTGCGCCCGCGCAGCCCGCGCAGCCCGCCCGCGGCGAGCCGCCCGCGACCGCGGCGGCGCCCGCGGCCTCCGACCTCGGGCGCCGTGGTCGGCGGCAGGGTGGAGATCGCCGCGCGGAGGAAGGAGCGGAACGGCGACCAGACGCGGCGGAGAGGGGGCCGGGCCCAGGGTGCAAGCGCACCTGCGCGCGCGCGCACCCGGGCCCCCCTCCCGATGGCGCGCTCCGCGCGCCAGAGGGGGTTGGGGGGGGGCCAGCGCCGCTCCGAGAAAGCCGCGCGGGCCTCCGAACTCCGCGCGGGTCTCAGAAGTCCGCGCGGGCCTCCGAGGAATCCGCGCGGGCCGCGCGAGTTTTATCTTCATTGCATGTGTCTGTTCCCCGAGGAGCGGTTTCCTCTCCCCCCGTCCGCGCTCTTCCCGATCCGTCTGCGGCGTCCAGCGAGGTCTCGTATTATAGCGCCCCCCTCGGCCGCCTGCGACCGCGGCGTGGCCCCCCGCGCCGCTGCGGCCAAGAGTGTTCTCGTGGCGAAGGGTGCAACCTATGTGCACTCGTGAGCACCGCCGTTGGTGGTGCTGTCTTCGCTGGAGTTTCCCATGGGGCCACGGAGCGCGCGAGGGGCATACCGAAAAGAGGTGGTGGGTGGGGGGCCGCGATCTGGCCGTGCCGCTGGGGCCTTCGATGGAGCTCCCGATGGGGCCACGAAGCGTTTGAGGGGCACGCCGACAAGGCGTGATTCCCACATGCGAACGTCGCCACTGGGGCCTTCGATGGAGCTCCTTGTGGTGCCACGAGACGTAGGAGGGGAGCGCCGAAACGGGCGTGAGGCCCACATGACATGCGAGGGTCGCAATGGGGGCCCTAGGTGGAGCTCCCTATGGTGTCACGAAGCGTATGAGGTGTGTGCCAGAACAGGCGTGCTGCCCACATGCGAGCGTTGCAATTGGGGCATCAGGTGGAGCTCCCATGAGGCCGCGACATGTATGAGGGGTGTGCCGAACCGAGCGTGCTGCCCAGAAGCGAACGTCGCCATTGGGGCTGTCGGTGGAGCTCCCTCTGGGGTCACGAAGCGCGTAACCAGGGTGTGCCGAAATGGTTCACCCCACCTGCGGGGGGCAGAGGCAGGGATGGGAGGAGGGGGGAGGAGGAGGATGAGGAGGAGGAGGAGGAGGAGGAGGAGGAGGAGGAGGAGGAGGAGGAGGAGGAGGAGGAGGAGGAGGAGGAGGAGGAGAGGAAAGGGACGCGGGGCGTGTCTCCCAGACGAGGACCCGACACCACAGGGTGGTTGGACAGGAGCTCCCCGAGGAGCGGGAGGGGGGGGGCCGGCCGAGGTGCTCTTGGCCGCGTGGCCGCCCGGAGCGCGGCCGGCGGAGGGCCGGCCCGCGGGAGGCCCCGCGGCGGCCCTGCGGGCGCGCAGCGCGCCGAGCTCGGGCGCGGGCGCGCCGGCCGGGGCGGCGGCTCCGCAGCCCCTGGAGGATCGGGGTGTGTCGTTGTGGGTGCGCGCTGGCCGAAGTTCCATGCGCCTGAGATCCGAGACCCCCTCGAGTCGTAAAAAAATCACGACGGGGGGGTGTCGCTATTTTCGGCCTCGGGAGGCCCTCGCCGGGCCTCGGGAGCGTCAAAAAACGACTCAGGATGAAAAATCTGTCCTGGGGAATGGGTCGAGACTTCCGGGGACCCCGTATTGAAAAAATCACGACGTCGGATCTTTGGGTACGGTGTCCGATGGTGTCTGGAACTCTTCGACGTCTGAGCGTCCCTTCTTCCTCTCGGCCGTCCACTCCCCCTGTCTTTACCCGCCGGCCACTTCGCTAGTTATTGTGTCCCTTTCTAGCTTCTCGCTGGAGCGGAGTTCGCCGCCTCGCCGCTGACAACAAAAAGTTTGATGTGTTCTACCGCCAGGCACCTGATCAAGAAGCCGCCTCCCGAAAAGCTGGGCTGGCGTTTCTTAGCCGGCTTGCCGGAGAGGTGGCCCAGTTTCTGGAGCACGTTCGCCTTTGTAGCGTTAACACCAGAACTTGGCCCTGGTCTGTTTCAAGAAGCCTCTGGAAAGCTGGCTCAGGTTTTTGAGATCACAATAGTCTTTGTTACATTTTCGGCTGTACAGTTCATGCCAGTGTTCTGGGAGGATATTGGGGACCGGCGTGTTTGCTGCTTCCATTCTATTACAAAAAGAAAAGTTTTTTTTGTTCCGCGCTCAGCAGCCCCTACAGGCAGACGGGGGGGGCTCGACGAGATCAGGCGGTCCGGTCGGTCAGGTCAGGAACCTTGCGCTGGATGACGCGCGAGCAGGGTGAAACAGGACGACTTCGCCTGTAAGGGACCCTGCGGCACTCCATTCCGAAGCAGGCTCTGCAACCATGTCTGGCTAAACGGTGTCAGAGAGGAGAAGAAGGAGGAGGAGGAGGAGGAAAAGAGGAAAAGAGGAGGAGGAGGAGCAGGAGAAGGATGAAGACCAGTGTAAACCCAACACTCACCAACGATGCTGGAATAAACCCTCCCTCCAAGCTCCCTCTTCTAAGGCACCTACCAGGGTTCATTTCCCCTTAGGGAGGTGCCCCGTTGGGAGACAACGAATTGACGATCCCGAAGCGTGCCAAAGCACCATTTCCGGGACTCACCACGAATCAATCTGACTGTTGCGTCTTCACGATCCTGACTTGTGCCAGAACGCCATCCTTGGGACTTCAATGCGCACCGCGAATCAACGTGACTGCTGCGCCCTGGCAGCCCTGAATCGCTTTATTCTGTCCTACGCTGACCATGAGAATCCGCGATTATGTGGCACTGTTTAAGACGAATGTGCGCGGCGCTAATGCGAGAGCCACATTTTGAAAAAGGAAACGCATTAAATCCGTGGAACCCTTGCGAGTTTAAGAGACGAGTGCTATCGGAGATGAGGGAACTGAGCCACATGTTGAACATCGCCCGCCCTCCCTTTGCGAAGCTGTTCCCAAAGTTTAAGCTTTAGGGTCGTAAGCGGTCAGGGCATATCAGGCGAAAAGCTTGGCCCGCCCTTCCGATTGGTTTCGGGGTACGACAGAGAGGAGTTCGGAACAAGGAGGAGGGGAACGGAGCAAGAGACGGAGGAGGAGGAGGAGGAGGAGGAGGAGGAGGAGGAGGAAAAGAGGATGAGGAGGAGGAAGAGGAGGAGGAGGAGGAGGAGGAGGAGGAGGAGTAATTAGGAGGGGGGGAGTGGGAGCACGACGCATCAATCGTGTCTGATCTGACAGTTGCCTCCCGCGCTGCAGCTGCATTGGCCTCCAGTCAGACGGGTGCAGGCGAGAGGCCCCAGACGGCCTCTCAGTTGCCACCGCGGGCCCAGACCGTGATGCGCGTTTCTTCTCCTCCCCCCCCCTCCTCCTCCTCCTCCTCCTCCTCCTCCCTCCTCCTCCTCCTCCTCCTCCTCCTCCTCCTCTCCTCCTCCTTTCCCTGTTCCCCTCCTCCTCCTCCTCCTCCTCCTCCTCCTCCCCTCCTCCTCCTCCTCCTCCTCCTCCTCCTCCTCCTCCTCCTCCTCCTCCTCCTCGGGTCGCCTACGGCCCCGGGGGAAATTGAAACCGTCCCCCCCCCCCTCCCGCCCCTCTCTTGGCGGCTCGCCGAGGGGGGAAGTCTTGGAGTTGCGGGTTCGATGCTGCAGGGTTTCGCACTTTCTCGTCGGCCCCCGGCGGTTTTCCAGCCGCGCGATGCGTTCTAGAGGTTGCGCCTCGCCGAGAGAGTCCCGGGGGTGCCCAGATCGTCCCGAATGACATCGGGAGAGCCGAGCTACGGTCGGGAATTGTTGGATGGCGTGTCGCTCCGCCGGTTCTGGCCCACCATGCTTCGGCGCGACATGCGAACCTCTTCCCAGTCCCCATGCTTCGACGGCCCGAGCTTTTCCGAGCCTTCCGCCCCGCGGAGCGGAGCGACATTCTATCCGCTCGCAGGGCATAGCGTGTCGCCAGGGCCATCGCGGCGATACGATAAGCAAAAGGTCCGGACCGGATGACCCGAAAGCAACCAAGCCTCCCGTACGTAGACGCAGCACCCCGCAGTTGCGGATAAGAGTGAGGGGGCGGGCGCGGGGTGGGTCGCGGCTGAGTCGCGGGTGGGTGGCGCGGTGGGTCGCGAGGTGGGTCGCGGGGTGGGTCGCGAGTAGGTTGCGGGGGGGGGGGGAAACGACAACAGACAGCAGACCAGCAGCATTTGGGCCACGGAGTCCCAGTGCACCCACGCACCCAGGGATGGCGTGAGACCGTGCGGCCCCCGTTCTCCGGCAGCGTGTATATATACACACACACACCTATACGAACACCCTTCGGGTGACAAGGACGTTGTGGGGGGGGGAGAGGGGGGGTAACCAACATTTGACTCAATTGATCACACTATCGATCTCACTCAACGGGACACCACGGGACACCGCTCAAGCCACCGCTGGACGGACGGAGGAGAAACATTTGATTTTGCTCTAGCAATGGCGGACACCACGGGACACCGCCGGACACCGCTCAAGCCACCGCCGGACGGACGGAGGAGAAATATTCGTCTTGACTTCGCCCTAGCAACGGCGGGTGGTTCATTCCTCTCGCGCGCCCACGCAGCTTCGCCTCGCCCGCACGCACGATGCGAACGAATCGAAACGATTTCCCGGTGGGGGATCTCCGGTCCACTGCGATCTCACCCCCCCAATCTCCGATATACACACATATATATACGTATATATATATACACAAGACTGCATTGGCGCTGCGCGCAATGCACCTTGGTCCTTTGAGTTCTGCACGCAAGCGGAATGCGTGCGCGCGTACATGCGCGCATGCATGTATACACGCGCACGTGCATGCACGTTCCGTATAAATTTCTAGGTGTATACAATATACTTACATTGTTGTATGTGTGTATACAGCGTACATATGTACATATAAATTTATGTGTGTAAGGGTATGAACATGCATATGCAATTCGTACGGGGCATCCTCGGGCATCTTCGCTGCATGCCACGAGACCCTCAACGACTGGGTCACAAAGTGAAATGCCATGGGAGCAAAAAATCAATGAAGGGGACCTCTCATGGCCCTTGTGGGTCTGTGCTGGGAGCCCTTGGGGGGCCTTTTGGTTCCATTATGGGCTGTCTTGGAGCTCTCGTGGGCGATCGTGGCGCCCGGCTCGGCCGTCTTGAAGCTTTCTAGGAGGCCCCCAAGACAGCCTCAGGGAGGCCCAAGAGGGCCTTGTTCGAAATCATGTTCCCAGAAGCCTCTCCGGGAACATTACTTCCGGGCTCCCGGGGGCCCCTACTGGGCCCCAAGACAGCTTCAGCGCGGCCCCGGAGGGCCCGAGATGGCTTGAAGATGGCCGAAGAGGGCCCCAAGAGGGACTTGAAGAGGCACACATCGGCCCATTTCCCTCGTAAAACGTACATTTTCAGCATACTCGCTGGCTTCGTCTTCACAGTGCCCCAGACGCCCCCGCGGAGCCCCAAGACAGCCCAAGAGAGACCCAAGAGGGCCTAAGACGGCCCAAAAGGGTCGTCCTGTGGGGCTCACGGAACCCCCAAGACGGCCCAAGAAGCCCCGAAGCGGGCCCGGGAGGGCCCCAAGACGGCCTCAGGGAGGCCCAAGAGGGCCTCGTTCGAAATCATGTTACCGGAAGCACTCCGGGAACATGATTTCCGGGTTTCCAGGACGCCCAAAGACAGCCCCCAGAGGCCCTTGACACGCCGAAGATGGCTTCAGGACGGCCGACGACGCCGCCAAAACGCCCCAAGGACGCCTCCAGAGGCCCCTCCAAAGGGCACCAGAAGCCGAACATTTTCCATTTTCCAATAGTTTTTGAAGCATTCTTGCGCTCTCCCATGTTCCGCCTCCCCACGGTCCCGGACCGCGTTAGAGGCCCTTCAGATCGCTCCAAGACAGCCGAAGAGGCTCCCAAGAAAGCCCAGAGACGGCCTTCCGTAGTCATTTTGGCTCAAGCACGGCTTGGTGCAAGCAACCGTCGCGATCTCGGCCCCTTCCTCGCCTGCCGCAGGCGCCGCGGCGTGGCGCCTCGGTGGCATGGTGTTGCCGAGCAAAGCAGACGCCTTCCCTACGTGCCTCCTGCTCGCCGGTCTGCTTGCCGCTACGGTTGTTGCGAGCCCAGGGGCGCCGGCGACTTGTTCCGCCGATGGAGGTGATTGCGAGATGGAAGAGATCGCCTTGCTGAATGTGCAGAAACGCTCGAGATGCAGCAACCCCTTCGTCATCCAGCCAGGAGACACTTGCGACAGCATTCGGGCTGCATGCCCAGTGTTCGTTGGCTTTAAGTGCGACGCCCATCCCGGTCCTCTCTGCGGGTTAGGGTTGTGGCCGTTACCATCCGACAATGGTTTGCAGGCGGGATGGAGGTGCCAATTTTATTAAAATGAGAAGCAGTGAGCAGCGGCGCATTTGAGGTTTAGGGTGTTGCCTCTGCTCCACCTCCAGCTTCCATTCAAGATCCACTCAAGGTCCTCTTCGCCCCCCCCTCTTCCCCCAGGAGCCGGAGCGCAATTTCAATAACGGGAGCGCCTGGCCTCAGTGGAACGCCTTTTCAACAAGTTTTGGGTTCGCTCCCCGCTCGGCTGGTTCCACGTGTACAAATGTCTCGCCTCACTTTTCCGGCCTCCTCCTTCGGAGTGTACGTGCTCATGACCAGCCCTCCTCCTCCTTCCGCATGAAGACCTGGTCAGCTCCCCGCCAGGCGTTTTTCCGCAATCGGGGAAGCATGCGAGACCTTCTGAGAGTTATCGGTTAAACTCTCACCTGTTTTGAAGCCCTGGTCAGCTCCCCGCGGGGCGTTTTTCCGCAATCGGGAAAGCATGCGAGACCTCCTGAGACTGGACTGGACTGGAAAAAAAAAGAAGAAAGCCCAGAGACGGCCCAGGAGGCTTCCCAGATAAGTCAAGAGGGCCTCGAGAGCGCCCCAAGAGAGCCCCAAGAGCCACCCGAAGAGCCCGAAGAGCGCGACATTTCAAGGTCTCCGGCCTGAGAGGCTCCGAGGACGCCCCCAGAGGCCATCAAGAGGCTCCCAAGAAGTCCCGCGAGGCTCCCAAGGGGCCCCCCGGAAGCCCCCATAGCCCTCCAAGAGGCCCTGCAGGAGAGCCCCCCTGCTGGCCCCCAAGACGCTTCGGTGAATCGTATTTCCCAGGTAGCTTTCCGGGAACATGATTCCTTGGGCTTCCGCGGAGGCCCCCTCTTAAAGAGCCGAGCAAATCATGCTCCCGGAAAGCTTCCCGGGAACATGACTCTCTATCTCGGAGTAGGCCCGGGGCGGGGGGCGGGCCGCTGCCTGTTCCCCCCATCGGTGCCCACCGGGGGTTGCGGGGGGGGGTCCAGAGCTCCCGAGGCGGCACGAGCCCGCCCCGAAGCAGGCCACGACAGGCTAATGGAGGTCCCGAGAGGGCCCAAGACGGTCCCAGGAGGCCCCGAAGACGCTCAAGATGCCCTCAAGACAGCCGACGAAGACTCCAACACGCTCCAGGACGGACTCAAGAGGCTCCCCGAGAGGGCCCTGGAAGGCAAGATTCACTCGTTTTCCGATTGTTTTGGATTTTGGCGTTCTCGCTTTCTCGCTTTCCAGCGCTCCCTTCACGGCCTCGGAGACCCTTCAGATCGCTCCAAGAAGGTCCACGAGGCCCCGACGAGGGCCCCAAGACGGCCCAGGATGCTCCCCAGACAACCCAAGTGTGCCCCAAGAGCGCGCCAAGAGAAGGCCCAGAGGGGTCCCGAGGCGGCCCGGGCCCGCCCCGAAGCAGGCCACGACAGGCTAATGCAGGTCCCCAGAGGGCCCTAGACGGTCCCAAGAGGCTCCGAAGACGCCCAAGCTGCCCTCAAGACGGCCGACGAGGATTCCAACACGCTCCAGGACGGACTCAAGAGGCTCCCCAAGAGGGCCCTGGGAGGCAAGATTCATTCATTTTCCGATAGTTTTTGAAGGATTTAGGCGTTCTCGCTTTCCCCGCTTCCCAGCGGTCCCTCACGGCCTCGCTCGAAGGCCCTTCAGATCGCTCCAAGACGGACCACGAGGCCCCGAAGAGGGCCCCAAGACGGCCCAGGAGGCTCCCCAGACAACCCAACTGTGCCCCAAGAGCTCCCCAAGAGAGGGCCCAGAGGGGGACCGCCAACCGATATTTCGAGGTCTCTGGCCCTAGAGGCCTCCTGTAGGCCCCCGGAGGCCACCGAGAGGCTCCCACGAAACCCCGTGAGGCGCCCAAGAGGCCCCCAGGAATCCCCAAGAGACCCCCAAGGGCCTCCCAGGGAACGCCTAAGAGGCCCCCCAACACACCCCAAGAAATCATGTCCCCAGAAAACCGTCCGGCGACATTGTTCATCATGGGCCCGAGAGTTCCCGGAGGCAGGGAAGGCCCATAAGAGACCCCCCAACACACCCCAACAAACCATGTTCCCAGAAAGCCTTCCAGGGACATGGTTCATCATGGGCCCGCGAGTCTCCGGAGGCTTCGAAGTACCATCATGCTACAGGAGAGCTGTCTGGGAAGTTGATTGGGAACATGACTGATCGCCTTCTCGCGGCCCTCCGCAGATCGTTTCGCGCAAAGTTGCCCCAAGTACCCTCTTGAAACGACGACGACGACGAGACCACAAAGACGACGCCGCCGCCGCCGCCGCCGCCGCCGCCGCCGACGACGACGACGACGACGACGACGACGACGGCGCGCCCCAATAGGCGACGACGACATTACGACGACGACGACGACGACGACGACGACGACGACGACGACGACGACGACGACGACGACGACGACGACGACGACGACGGCGGCACGCCCCAACAGGCTCCCCAAGACGCCCCCAAACCCATGCTCCCAGAAGGCCTTCTGGGAACCCGATTCATACGGCCTCCGCCCCCTTACACAACCATTCTCCTCGAAGGCCTTTCGGAATGCAGATTGGCATGCGTGTACTGTGGTCCACTGCTTCAGTGGAGCAGTCAAGTCGTCAAGCCCTGGGGCCTGCTAGAGCCTGAGCGCGCGCGAAGCGCGCGCGATGGTTCTATATGTCCGCCCCCCCTTCGCGGACGAGCGCCCCGAGCAGGAGGCGCAGGCCTTCGAGGGGCCGCGCCCCCCCGCGCGGCCCGCGGCGGCGGAGGCCGCGCTGCCCGCGGCCGCGGAGGCGGCCGAGGCGCCGCCCGCCCTGGGCCGGGGAGGCACGGAGGCTGCGGGAGCAGGGGGAGCGCTGCCCCAAGCAGCATGCGCTGCGATTGCATACGGGCTGTTGGCGAGTGCGCTTCCGTCCGTGCGGACGACGAGGCGTCAGGCTGGCGGCCCGTCCACCGACGCTACGAGCGCTGACGAGCTCGACAGCTTGCCTAAGAGAAAGGAGCGTTGCCCTGGGCGCTGCCCGAGATCATCGAGCTCAGAAGAACCCCTGACCCTAATAGCACGATGGGAACGTGGCCTCGGTGAGGCCCCCGTCTTCGCATCAGGGACCACGGTTCTGGGCGGTTTGGTCTGATGCACTTGCAGAAACGACCCCCTCTCCTGATTCTTGTTGGCCTTCCTAACTTAGGTCCCCTCCCAAAGGGTTAGGGGCCTTTTTTTGGTTAATGACAAGAGCCTGCCGTCGGGTGAAGATTGCTGGTGGAGATTTTTTCGGACCGCAGGCTACTCATCGGATGCGCACACGCACGCGCACGCGCGCGCACGCGCGCGCACGCGCGCCCGCTCTCGGGATCGGGCTCGTTCTCTGGCTGGGGCCCGGGGCTTGGGCTCGGGCTTCGTCTCAAACTCGTGCTCGGGCTCGGGTTCAGGCTTGCGCTTGGGCTCGGGTTGAAGTGGCCCTGCGGGTTGCCCCGTGGATGTCCCGTGGGTTGTTCCGCGGTTGGCCCCTTGGATTGTCCCCTGGGTTGTCCCGCAGTGAAGCCCCGGGTATCCAACGGTTCCACATCCGCGTGCGTAGGCGAATCCGAATGATTGTGTGGCAAGGCATCTGCTCACTTGGTTGAGAAGTTGACGCACGCTGATTGTACTTTGAACGTCGACCCGCGCGGGGCGCGCAAAGTGGAATTTTACGCGATTGTTCCAAACCCGCGATAGTAATCGCTCATTACTCGCAAGAAGAATTGGGTTGAGGAGAGCACTCGTGGTTTTTTGAAGAAGCAATCAGGATGTATATTCTCCTGTAGAAATGCGACGAGTCAGACGTCGACCCTACCATTGCATACGAGCGATAGTACGAGTCCGACCGAGAACTGTCGACACCGCGAGCGGCCCGAGCCACAGCCACGAACCCGCCCACAGTCCGTCAAACTGTCGGTCGGCGGCGACCTGGCTCCGAGCCGCGGCCAGGGCAGCGGGGAGGCACCCGTGCAGAGTTGGGCACAGCAGGCGGCAGGCCAGGCGCGGCGAATTGGGCACAGCAGGAGTGCAGAATTGGGCACCAGTGCAGAATTGGCCAGGGAGCCTCAGTAGGCCCCAGGAAGCGCCAGGCACAGGGACGCCCCACGAAGCCCCAAGAACCCGCAAAACGCTCAAGGTCTCCGAGACAGCCACTGGCGGCGGAGCACGTTCAGAGGCCTACGCGGGCAGCGGGCAAGAGTGGGGAGGCGACAGTCTGTCAAACATTGCATTGGTCGGGCGAAGAGAACGATGCACGTGCACCGATCCTGACAACGCCCACCCTTGACCCAGGATCGGTGCACATACCTTCCTGGCCAAGGTAAGAGGGAGTATGCACCGATTCTGGGCTCAGGGTTGGGCCTTGCCAGAATCGGTGTATGTGCATAGTTCTCTTTCCTCTAATTGGTGAAATATTCACCTGCTTTAGTAAGTGCTGTCTTGGGACTGTGCAGACGCTTGCAGCACACGTGGTCGGAACGAGGAGGAACGTGCTGGCGGGACAGGCTGCAGATTCCAGCAGGGCGTCGCGAGGATGTTTGACCGGCAGCCGTGGAGGGGAAGTTGGCGGAACCGGGGATCGGGGATCTCGAAGAAGAAGAAGAAGTTCGCGTATTCGCAGCATGTGTTGTCTAATGCTCGCACACGCCCTGTGCGAGCGCATGCGCGCGCACGCCCCTTCCTCCACCATTTGGCCTTCAGGGCTGTGTTGGTATGCAATGTTTGGTGCGCTTGGCCTTATTCGACCAGTCCGCCCGCCCTGCGAAGAAGAGGCCATACCACATGTAGAAACGGGCTCGGCGGGCCTCCATGTAGGAGCTCGCCAGGCCGAGCCCCGCAGCAAGCAGTGGCGAAACACGGACTGCATGACCAATCGCTCCACGACAAGAGAATGGAGCCTCATCGCCATCGAATCTGCGTCGCCGATCTCAACAGAGGGTGGGGCGAGCTGGATGGAGCGGAGGGGGGCGGTGTTGCTAACACGCACAAGAAAAAAACGACAACACGGAAACTTTCGGAGTTCCGCGTGGTTTCTCCGGCCTCCTCGCTGGACCCCTCACCGCTGGTGTTCCCCAAGATTCTGTCCAGGGCTTCGAATCCCGATTCCTTCGGGGGTGGACAGACCTCCTACCCTGACACGTCGATTAAGGAATTGGCCGTTTTCGGTTCGCGAGAGGGCGTCGCGGCCGTCATGTTTGCGGGTCCAGGTCCGTCGGTTTCGGTCCCAGGCCATTTTCATTAAGGGGAGGTCTACTAAAGGGAGGTTTGTCCACCGCCGATTCCCGACTGACAGCGCGTTCGGCGGACCGTTTGCACCATCGGGAGTGCAGGACCAGTAGCAAGTAGCAGATGCAGCAGCAGGAGCATCTGGGATGGGGGGAATGGGTGAAGGGACGGTGACGCGGGCGGGCGACTATGAGGGGGACAGGGTCGCGTGCGGAGGAGGACTGGGGTGCTGGGGTGGAGGGACGGGGGGGCCTGGGGGCTGGGGGTGATGGGCGGGGAGCCCAGGGGAGGCTGGACAGGCAACGCGGGACGGGGGCGTTGTTGATTGTTTGTCAAATCGAGCCGCAGTGCAAGGGCATAGACGAGTCCGAGAGTTGGGTCGAGTCGCAGCCTTTGGTTTATACCAAATTGCTTTTGCTGCCCCAGGTGATGAGCCCGATGGGGGGAGAGGGTCCCTCACCCCCCTCTCCTCCCCTTCGCCCTGCTCCTTGCCCCTCCGCCCCCCCCCCCCCCCCACTACCTTCCAGTCCACCCCCGGGCTCTCCTCCTCTATCCCTCCGTCGCTCTTGCTCACTCCCTCCCCGTCATCCCCCCCCTTCCCCACCCAATCACCTTCATTCTCATGTCCCTCCCTTCCCCTCCCCATCACTACACTTCCCTCCCCTCTCCCCGTCTCTCTTCCCTCCATCTCCGTCTTTCGGCGCTGATAGCTCCGAAAGCGAGCGTCGCCCTTCCTCCCCCCCTCTTCCTCCGCCCCAATCGGCCCTGTCCCAGTCCCTCTCTCTCAGGGGGGGGGTCCCCAAACGCGGACCTTCGGATAAACCAGGACACTGGCGCGCCAGAGAAAGTTGCAGCCGCGAGTCGAGGCGTTCTCCAGTGCTCGCTCTCTCGTGTCGGAATGTTCAAAAAGTCCTGGCTGGCAGTGCCCTGGTTTAGGGGGCCCCGACCCTCCCTCTGCAGTGGTGGAGTGATCGCCAGCTTTTGGTCATCCCACCCCCCTTTTGTTGTCTCTTCCTCGTCGTCCTTCTCCAGCCCCCTCTTCTTCACGATCTGCGTGGAATCGTGCCGGCCCCCGCTCAGTTGCCCAATGGAGAATTCTGTATGCGAGGAGTGTCGTTTCACGCTGTATTCGTTTCACGGTATTCGTTTCCGTCCCCATTCATGGGGCGAGCGGATCTTCGAGCCGCCCCGTCGGACCTGTTTCTTGCTTGACCCTCCCCTGCGAGGCACCTGCGGGTCGCCACTGGAGGCCGCTGGCGGTGGACTGGCAGGACACGCAGCTCGGCCCGGGCTACCCTGCGAAGATCCTTTCCGCCTGGAGCGACTTGGGCGTGCTCGCCACTGGCAGCACGGTGCGGATCGAGGCGTAATGCGGAGGAGGAGGAGGAGGAGGAGGAGGAGGAGGAGGAGGAGGAGGAGGAAGAAGA